AAACCTAATTAAATAGATAAACCATTGGCTAACTTGGTTTAAAAAAAGAAGAAAATCAAATTACCAGTCTCAAAAATGAAAAGGGTGAATGTGCCATCAATGAAGATAAAATTAAAGCAAGTATTAGAAGCTGTTTTGCCCAACTTTATACCAATAGAACTGGCAATCTAATTAAAATGGATGAATAGTTACAAAAATACAAATTGCTCAGATTAATAAAAGTGGAAATAAGATACTTACATGACTATCTTAGAAAAAGAAATTGAACAAGCCATAAGTTTTTTATGAGCTCTTTAAGAAAAAGTCCCCAAGATGTGATGGATTTAGAGGCAAATTCTATCAAACATTTAAAGAAAAACTAATTCAATATTACATAGACTATTTGGAAAGATGTCCACTATGGGCACTATTATTCAGTATTGTACAAGAAATGCTAGCTACGGCAATAAGACAAGAAAAATAAATTGAAACATTAAGCATATGCAACAAGAAAGCGAAACCATTACTTCTTGCAGATGACATGAAGGTATATTTAAATAACCTAGGAATGTAAAATAAAAAGCTAGTTGAAACAATAACTTCAGAAAAGTTGCAGGCTATAAAATAAACCCGCATAAATCATCAGCATTTCTATATATTACCAACAAAACCCAGCAGGAAGAGATAGAAAGAGAAATTCCACTTAAAATAACTGTAGGCAGTAAATATTTGGGAGTCAACCTGACAAGAAATACATAGAAACTATATGAACACAATCACAAAACAAATGAAGTTTGATCCAAACAATTGGACAAATATCAATTACTCATAAATAGGCTGGGTTAATAAAACAAAAATGACAATTCTACCTAAATTACATACTCAGTGCCATACAAGTTAAACTACTAAAAATCATTTTAAAGAGCTAGAAAAAATAATAACAAAATTCATTTGGGAGAACAAAATGTCGAGAATATCTAGGCAATCAATGAAATAAAAAAGTAAAGGAAGGAGGCCTAGCAGTAACAAATTTCAAACTATATTGCAAAGTAGTAATCATCAAAACAACTTAGTATTAGCTAAGAAATAGAAGGATGAACCAGTGGAATAGATTAAGTACACAATATACAGAAACGAATTACCCTAGTAACCTAATGTTTGATAAAAGTGAAGATCCAAGCTTTGGGGACAAGAACTCACTATCCAGTAAAAATTGCTAGAAAAACTGGAAAATAGTCAGACAGAAACTAGGTTTAGACCAATATTTTACCCCACATTGCAAGATAAGCTCAAGCTGGGTGCATGATTTAGACATGAAGAGTGATATCTTAAACAAATTAGGGGAGAATGGAAAACTTTGTCAGATATGTTGATAAGAGAAAAATTTATGGTTAAATGAGAGATAGAAGGGATCACAGGAGGTAAAATGGATGATTACACAAAATTAAACAAAAATAATAAGCAAAACCAATGCAGCACAAATTATAAGAAAACTACAAAACTATAAAAATATTTATAGCAAAACTGGAAAAATATTTACAGAAATGATGAAGGCCTCATTTCTCAAATATATAGGGAACTGAGTCAAGTTTATAAAAATAAGAGCCATTCCCCAATTGATAAATGGTCAAAGGGATATAAACAAGTAGTTCTCAAGAGAATAAAAGCTACCGATAGTCATATGAAAAATGCTTTACATCATTAGAGAAATGCAAATTAAGAGAACCCTGAGGTACTACCTCGAAGCAAAGGAAAATTTTGAATGCTGGAGGGAATGTGGAAAAATAGGTATACTAATGTCCTGTTGGTGGATCTGTCAAATGCTCCAACCATTCTGGAGAATGATTTGGAGCAATGCCCAAAAAGGACTATAAAACTGTGTGCACCCTTTGACCCAGCAATCCTACTAGTAGGTCTCTTTCCCAGAGATCAAAGAAAAAGGACTCATATATACAAAACTGTTTATTTATTCAGTCATTTTTCAGTCATGTCTGACTCTTCATGACCCTAATTAGGGTTTTCTTGGCAAAGATACTGCAATGGTTTGGCATTTCCTTCTCCAGCTCATTTTACAGATGAGGAAATGGTAATAAATAGGATTCAGTGACTTGCCAAGGGTCACACAACTAGTAACTTTCTGAGGCTGGATTTGAACTCAGGTCTTCCTGACTCCAGGCCTACCTCTCTATTCGTTGTAAAACCTAGCTGCCCCAAACCATTTTTAGCAGCTTTCTGTGGTAGCAAAGAATTGGAAATCAGGGGGATGCCCATCAATTGGGGAATGGCTAAACAAGCTGTGCTATATGATTGTGAAGAAATATTATTGTGCTTTAAGAAACGATGAGCAGGATAGTTTGAGAAAAACCTGGAAAGACTTATATGAACTGATGCAACATGAAATGAACAGAACCAGCAGTGTATTGTGCACAGTAACAGAAATATTGTAGTGATGATAAACTATGAAAGACTTAGCTGCTCTGAGCAACAGTGCTCCATTACAATTCCAAAGGTCTCACAATGAAAAAGTGCTATCCACCTACAGAGAGAGAATGGTGGAGTCTGAGTGCAGATTGAAGCATATTTTTCCCCACTTTATTTTTCTTGCTTTTTTTCACCAACATAGCTAATATGGAAATATGTTTTGCATGACTCCACATGTATAAAGGGTATCACATTGCTTGCCTTCTCAATGAGTGAGTGAAGGGCTAGAGGGTAGGAAAAAATTTGGAATTCCAAATTTTAAAAATTAAAAAAATTAAAAAGCTTTGAAAAAATTAAAAACTTAAAATAAAAAAATTAAAAAACCACTTTCTTTATATATCCTGGATATGAGACCTTTAGCAGAGTAACTTACTGCAAAGATTTTCCCCAGTTACCTGTTTCCCTTATGATTTGTTGCTACATTAATTTTTTTATATAAAACTTTTAAAATTTTATATGATCAAGATTTTCTATCTTATTTTGTGAGGCCATAGGAATGAGAGTTTTCTATTTATAGATCCAGAGAGTAACTTCAACCTTGTCCCTTTAATTTGCTTATAGTGTGAACCTCTGTACTTAGGTCTTTTATCTATTTGGAGCTTATCTTGGTATAGACCCAAAGACTTTCTAAGATCAGGGATTAAATCTTCCCCCATCAGCTTAAAGTGTTCCCAAAGGAGTGTAGATGAGAAGAGTTCTGTCTTCTCAATTATCTATATTTCTATGGTTTCCAACACATTGAGATGGACTGTTGAATGTTCAACTCAATAGCCTCCTAAGTGTCTTCATTCTGATCTGAGGAAAGCCCTTGTTTTTGAGTTCCATTAACAGATTATTTTTGAAATTTCTTCTTACTATTACATTCTATGACCCGTATTCCAAGTTTCTTTCCCATCTCTGACATTCCCTATTTTAAAGCCCCTCCCAGTCTGATATTCCATGTTCTAAGCTCCCTCCCAGAGCTAATGTTCTTTGTTCTAAGGTCCCTTCTAGCTTAGTTTTTTCCATGTTTGAGGTATAATGATACCTACTTGGCACCACTGAGATTGACTAGCCCGGCAGGTTGTAAAAGCTCACTTTACTCATGTGGCCATGTTCCCCAGAGGAAATACCTTTTCTTTCACCAAAGATCCCATCCCTTTTCTCTTCTCTGTGGATTAATGTTCTCATGAAGCCCATGGGCTGCAGCTTTTTCCCAGGGACACTTCTGGGATTCTGCTCCAGCTCTGGACCTCTCTATCTCTGCTTTCCTCAGTTCAAAGTGCTGAAGTCTATTTCTACTCTGGCACTCTATGCTCTAAATCTGTCCCAGTTGGAACATTTGTCCACAGAGGCCTTTAAGTTACTATAGTCTGCTGACTGAAAGCTAACAAGCGTGTCCTATACATCGAGGCAATGAGGACAACAATGAGAGAGTCCCTGCCCTCAGAGAGGTTATATGTTATTTGGTGGATATCAGAATGCAAGTAAGCAAAAGATATGTACAAAATAACACAAAGTAATTACTGGAGGCAGAAAATGCCAATGATTGGGATGAGGGGCCTCAGGAAATGTCTCACGGAGGATGTCTTCCTTGAGCTGTGCTCTCAAGAAAGCTTGAATCTTTGTGATGAAAGTGAGGCAGGGTGGTATTGGTGATGGGTGGGACCACTTATGCAAAGGCAAGGAGGTGGGAAAAGAGCTATTATGCCAGTTTGGTAGAAATGATAAGTGTGTGAATTGGGGTGACATGAAATAAGACTGGAAAGTTTAGGGGGATCAGACTGGCAGACATTTAAGATCAGAGTGAAGATTTTTTTTCTAGTAGTGATGGGGAGTCATTGAAAATTTTTGGGTAGTGGAGTGACAAAGCAGATCCATGTTTTCAGACTCAGTTTGGTAGTGGTGTGGAGAATGGATTGGAAGAGAGGAAGAGGGAGGGTAATCTAGGCATCAAAGGATGAGAGACTGAATGAGGCTAGAGACAGAGTGTGAGTGGAGTGAAGGGGACAGATGTGAGTCATATAGGGTAGATAGGCCAGATTTAGCACCTCATTGAATATGGGAGAGGGAAGAGAAAAGGGGAGGGAACAGTCAATGATGATGCTAAGGCTTGGGACCTAGTTGGTGCTGCTCTTAAGAGAAACAGAGAAGCTTAAGGGAAGGGGAGGCTTGGGGAAGGGGAGAATATAATGGGTTCTGATTTGAACAAGCTAGACTGGAGGTCCTAAGGGACATTCAAGTGGAGATGCCCAGCAGGAAGTTGATCATGTGGGGCTGGAATTAAAAAGAGAGAACAGGGTTGGGTATATGTGTGACCCATCGCCAGAGCCTTCCAGCTCTGACTTCTATGCTCTGTATCTCTCATTAAGTTTTGTTCATCTAATCACCACATAAGCTCTTGCCAGACAATGCCCTGTCCCATTTCTGTCTCCCCCATAGTGGCTAAGATCAATATACTTCTGCTGATGGATTCATCCTGACAGCATCTTCTTTCTCAAAGCAGAGCTCCATATTCTCCCTAATCTCAAGTAGTCCCCACCCTCCTTGCTCCAATCTCTTTATTTGAACTTGAGCTCTGAATACTCAGCGTCAGTGTCTTCAGGCTTGGGAATCTCTTGGGGCTTCTGGGCTTGGAAAGAGACAGAGGCATATTGTACCTGGTCCTCCCCTTCCTGTGAGCAAGAGTCCAGCGCAGGTGAGGGAATGTGCTCTAAGGAGTCTTGCTTCCCAGAATTCTCATAAAAAGAGCCATGAGGTCTTTGAGGTGGAGAATGCCTGCAGGAACTCAAAAGAGGAAAAAGCAAACAAAGTGGTCTCTCAGGGCCCTTCCAATTCTGCCAGTCTCTGTTCTCTATCACCTTTCTCCACCAACAGTCTATGTTTTGAGGACCTTTCTAGTTCTTACATTCTCCTTTCTATCTTCTACATGGCCCGTTATCTCTGACATTAGGGCCTATGTGTTCTGAGGTTTCTTCTTTTTGGGGCACTATATGTCCTCTATTCTAAGGTCCATTTCAACTCAATATTCTGTGTTCTATTTTCTAAGAGTCCTTGCAGCTTTGACATTATGTGTTCAACATTCTAAGATGTATTTCAAAGCTAATGTGCCACATTCTAAGTTGTATGGGACCTTCTTCTCTGATATTCTGCATTCTAAGAGTTCTGAGTCCTTCTAGAGGCAACTTTCTCAGTTCTAGTTTTTAAGGCCCCTTCTAGGTCTGCCTTCCTCACTTCTATCTCTCTCATCACAGGAGGTCTTCAAGAAGAGACTGGATGATTTTGCTTTAGGGGATTCTTCTCAGGCTTTCTCTGAGACCTCTTCTAAATCTGAGTTTCTGTGAGTCTCCTATAGGGGGAATCCTTGGGTTGGAAGAAGTGAAGGCTAAGATGTTACTTGTCTGCACATGGCAATGCCCAAGGTTAGAGTCTAACCCTTAATCAGGAACCAGGCAGTAGTGGAAGGGAGGCGGAGGAAAGAGAATAAGTATCCTTCCTTCTTTCTGTAAGTGACTTACCCAGAGTCACACAGCTAATAAGTATCTGAGGCTGGATTTGAACCCAGGTCCTCCTGACTCCAGGGCCAATGCTCTATCCACTGTGCCACCCAGCTGCCCTGGAAATAAGCATTTATATAACACCTACTATATGTGAGATACCATGCTAAGGGCTTTATAAATATCATCTCGTTTGATCCTCACAACAACCCTGTGAGGTAGATGCTATCATCCCATTTTACATTTGAGGAAACTGAGGCAAACAGAAGTTATATGACTTGCCCAGAGTCACATAGCTAGTAAGCATCTGAGGCTAGATTTGAACTCGAGGTTTCCTGACTCCAGGCCCAGTGCTCTAGCCACCAAGCCACTAGCGCTACAGTAGGAAGGCCATTACCCCAGGGAGGGATACAAACCAAAGATAACCCTCAAGACCCTTGATGAGACAAAACCTGAGGCTGAGTAGACAGCAGAGCCAGGGATGTGCTGGTAAATGTTTAACAACCAGCTCTTCAGGGAAAGAGGAGAGGCAGAGGGAGGGTAGACTTTAAAGTCTGATCTGCATTATTAAAATTTCTCCATTACTATCTTGACCCCAGACAATTAACAGAATCATAAATCAAATTCTGATTGTCATGCTTGTCAATTTCTGAGGTGTAAATGCTCCCACTTCAAATTTACCCATCAGTTTCCAGGGGCTGGCTCCATGCTGCTGCATGGAATTGACCCAAGAGTCTAGCTTCCTCATGGGTAAAACCTCTGCCTCATTGCTAGATCATTTCTATGATGTTGGCCTTCACTGTTTCTTGGGTAGGGATTGTCTTCCTGGAAGTGTAGTGGGCATACACTGGACATTGAATAAAGGCTAATTGAATAAATGAGTAAATAACTCACCCACTTCTTCAATCAATGACTATACCAGTCTTGGAGTCAGATGTTATGGGTCCAAACTCCAGCTGGGCTCATTGACTCCCTGTGACTTTAGACTTATTGTACTTAACTGTTCTGAACTCAGTTTCCTCATCTGCAAATGGAGAAAGTTGGCCTAGATTGAGGTTTCTTAATGTTGGGTCTATGAATTTTTTAAATATATTGACAACCGGTTTTCAATGTAATCGGTTTATTTTGTACTCCTATGTGTTTCATTTTATGCACTTAAAAATGTTATTCTGAGCAGGAGCCCACAGGCTTCACCAGACTGACTGCCCAAGGGGTCTGTGGCATAAAAGAAAGGGGAAGAGTCCCTGGCCTTTGTGGTCTTTAAGGTAGGTTTCACTTTTAAATCCCATGATTTACTGACCTTATGATTGGCCCTGTAGCGTGGTGCAAAGCAGACAACACTAGATGAAGACTTTCAGTCAGAAGACTTGGGCTCAGTTCTAAGCTCTGACACTTACCATCTGTTGGTCCTTGGGCAAATAGCTTTTCTTCTCTGGGCCTGATTTTCTTCAACTGTAAAGCAATTGGCATGGACTAGAAGATTTATAGGATCCTTCTAGCTCTATATTATCTGATCATAATTCCACTCCACCCCCACCCCCAAATAAACTCATTCTATTGACATTTAAGGCCCTTCTCAATCTGTCTCTCTAGTACCTTTCTGGCCAGATTTCATACTAGACCACTTCCCTTGCTCCCTGGACAGCTGTAGTAGGAAGAATGATGGGCTTGGAGTCGGAGAACCTATTTTTGAATCCTAACTTTTCCATGGTAAGCAGTGTGTCTCACACATGACCAGGGCATCTTGGAAGACTGCAATTGCAACGCGATTCAATAGCAATGATGGGGCAGCCAACAAAGCTGATGTAACTTGGACTGCATTAATGGGAGCCTCCCTTTCAGGTAGAGGGAAGTGATCTTATCTCTTCACATGGCCCCAGTCAGACCAGATCTCTGCCAGTGTGTCCAGTTCAATTTTACTTAGGACATTGCTAAGCTGGAGGGCATGAAGGGAGGGGAAATAGGCTTTGAGATGATGTCTTATGAGGACTGGGTGAAGGAACTGGGCATGTTTAACTTAGAGGAAAGAAGTCTGCTGGTAGGACTGAGACACGATAATGATGTTCAAGGACTGTCATGTGGAGGAAGGCATAGACTGTTTTTTTGGGGGACTCCAGAGCTCAGAATCAGGAGTAATGAGGGGAAATGACATAGAGATCAATACGGGCTGGATGTCAGGGAGGCCTACCCAATCACTAGAACTGTCCAATATGGAAGGTATTGTCCAATGTGGAGGGTGCTGTCCAATGTGGAAGGGGCTACCCTGGAAGGCAGTGGGTTCACCCTCATAGAGGTCTTTAAGTAGGAGCTGGAGGACCACTTGCTAGGTATGTAATGATGCTCAGTAAATGTTTATTGAATTGAATGGGATGGAAAGAACCCAAATCCATCCACTTAGGACCCACCTTCACATCTTTGACCAGTTATTCCTTTTCCATCAATCCACATCTTTTTCCTCTTTCAAAACTACACTCTAATACCCACACGTGGCTATCAGTCTCCACATATAAAATCTCTAGGGATGAGATAGGGTTAGTTTTATATCCCACTCATTCTCAATACAGCCAATATTATACACACTCTTACATAGTTGAGCTGGTGTTGGGATACTTATCTCATCAACTAGATTCCAAGTTCAGAGATTTTATGTTCTCAGTTTTCCTAGAAACGCTTTATAAGAATGAGAATGAAGAATAGTTGTATCATCCTAATATTCTATATCTCTATGGCCTCCAGGAAAATGGTAGAGACTGAGGGATGTGGGTCAGGATAACTCAGTGACTCACTTGTGGGTTGACAGAGGAGACATGTTCAGTTCTTGTCCCAGATGTTGCTGCCTCCAAGTCTCTCTTTGAAAGCTATCTCTTATGTATCTTTATTCTGAAACAAGTTCTGCCATGAATGAGTTTTAAAGTCACTTTCAGCTATTTCATTATGTCTTCTGTGTTTTAAATTATCATCCCACTCTGACTTTTTATTAACTGTTCTCTTTCATTTTTAAACTTTATTCACTGTTTTCTAATGTCCTTTCTCACTCTGATATTATGCGTTTGGTGTGTTATGACCTCTGTTGTTGTTCAATAGTTTTCCAGTCATATCTGACTTTCCATGATCCTATTTGGAGTTTCCTTAGCAAAGATACTTCTTCAAGTTATTTAACAAATGAGGAAATGGAAGCAAAAACAGGGTTAAGTGACTTGCTCAGGTTCACACAGCTAGGAAACATCTGAGGCCAGATTTGAACCATGAAGATGAATCTTCCTGATGAAGATCACTCTGGATCCAACTCCAGTGTTCTACCCTTTTTTTTTTACCTAGCTGCCCAAAAGTTTTGACCTCTGGCCACCTTATTATCTTGGTAATCTTGAGAATAACCAGCCCTGGTGCAGTGAAGTCCTAAGAGTTATTTGTTCATGTAAAGGCACTGCCAATGGGCAAAGCATCTCCTTTAGCTAAAACATCCGATTCTACCTTTCTGTTGGTAGATATGTCATTCTAAGCCCCAAATCCATCGGAGTTTTCTCCCTCCTGTAAGTCTTCTGTTGTTCCCTTCTTGCTCTGTCTATAGCTTCTTTCCCGCAGTTCCCCAGGGGAATCTCTAGTTCATGGCCACAACATCTAGGATATTTAAGATCCCCTGTTCTAAGGAGCATTTCAATTATGGTATTCCATGTTATATGCTCTCCTGGCTCTGACACAGCATGTTTTCTATCCTAATCTTGTATCTTCTACAGACCTTCCCAACTCCGACATCCCATGTTCTAAAGACCCTCCCAGCTTTAACATTCCTTTTTTTAAGGTCCCTTCTAGCTCTAACATTCTATGCCCTATGACCCTTCCCATTTCTGGCATTCTGTGTTCGAAGGTACTCCTCCTACCCACTCTGGTTATGATATTCTGGGTTCTACTGCACATTCCATCTTCCAAGGTTCTGCATTCATCCCTAATCTGGAAACTCACAGGCAGACTGCCACGTATGTGAAGAGCAGAGCAGTCATGAGGATTCCACACAGGGCTCCCCTAATCATCCATTTCAAGAAGTTGCAGGGACTGGAGGAGGCATTACCTGAGGAGAGATGCAGCCTGAGAGGAGCCATTTTCTCTTCCATCCTTCTTCCCTTCTGTCCCCTCACCCTGCTCTAGGGGTCCCAGAAATAAGTGGCTCCACTGTAGAGGCAGGTGCTTCCTGGTTTCCCAAGGGCTCCCCAGAACAATCCAGTGAGGTAGACCATGGAAGTCTCACTGCCCCCCAGACAATTAGTGAAATACGGGATTTCAATTTCAGTTCTGTTCTTTGCTAATCATTTTGATCTGAGCCAGGCCTTTAAGTGGTAACCAGTGAGAACTCTGCACAATAGTGTTGGCTTGTCTCCTTTGTATGACTTGGTATTTGAGTATGCAAAGGATCTCCAGACCCCACAGCCACAGTCAGTCTGGGCACTCGGAAAGGGAAACAGCAAACAAGCATTTATTAAATGACTACTGTTTCCAGGTCCTTTGTTAGGTGCCTTACAGGTGTTATTTCATTTGACCCAAACAACAAATCTGGGAGATTCATGTTATTATTATTCCCATTTTGCAGTTGAGGAAACTGAGGCAGACAAAGGTTAATGATTTGCTCACTTGAACTCAGGTCTTCCTGATTCCAGGCCCAGCATTCTATCCACTGCATCATCTATATGCTCTTTCCTTCCTTCCTTCCTTCTTTCCTTCTTTCCTTCTTTCCCTCCTTCACTCTTTCCTTTCCTCCTTCCTTCTTTCTTTCCTCCCTCTCTCCTATCTTCCTTTCTTCCTTCCTTCCCTCCTTCCTTCCTTCCTTCTTTCTTTCTTCCCTCCCTCTCTCCATTCCCTCCTTTCTTCCTTCCTCCCTTGGATTTCCTCTACAGATGAAGCAACCGAGTAAAGATGGGGTTAGCGGCTTGCCAAGCATCTCACAAATACTACATGACTGGCTACCAGGTCTTCACACTTAAAGACTTTCTTCCCTCCTCCACCTTCTCTGCTCTGGCTTCCCCTGAACTTGGCCCCTCAGAATTCTCTTGGCTTCCATCCAGGGGCCTCCCTCCCTTCACCTAGTACCAGTAGCAGGACACTGACACTCTGGGTCCCATGGTGGTTCCTCCCTTCACAGCAGATGCCAAGGCTGGGCATCAGGTTCTTGACCAGGATCAGACTGCTGATGGTCCAGCTCCTGGAGGTGCTGTATACCACAGGGAGGGTGTTGTCACTGCCATTCCTATGCACAATACTCTCTCCCATCCACCAGTGCAAGGAGGGAGGAGCCAGGTCTCCCTGGAGTGATCCCTCCTCTGCCCACAAGCAAGAGGGGCCAAGCATCCTTGGGGGGGTCTGTGGAAAGGGAGGGAAGATGAATCGGTGCAGTGTCCTCTCTCCCACCTGCAGGGCCCCAGGGGCCCTGTGCCTAGCCTGTTCCCACTAATAGTACACCAGGAGGTTCAGAGAGACATTGGGCAGGTCTAGTGGGTCCTATGTTCAGCAGATGGACCCTGCCATGGCCTCCCCTGACAGGGAGGGCAGTTCTAGGCTGAGGATCTGAGAGTCTAATGGCTGGGAGGAGCTCAGGTCTTGCCCTTCTGTGGCCCAGGGCCTGCTATTCATACTGTAGCCTGAGTGGAAGGACTTAGCCTCTAGAAGTAGGAGGAATGAAAAGTTTCCCCTGAATTCTGGCCTTGGAGAGAGAGTAGAAGATTGGGTTGATGGTCCTGTCTCTTCTTGGCTCCAGACCACCCTTCTGTCTACACCTGCCTCCTGCCAACTTCTCTGTCTTATTTCTCTGGGAAACACTCATATTCCTATTCTGAGGAAGGAAGTGACTGGCTCTTGGCTGGAGTCCCAAGCTCCATCTTCATAAATGGGATGACATTGGTACCTTCAATACCAGAACCCAGGACAGAAATAGGGCAGACCCAAGGATTTGCTTCCATAGACTCCACCTCTCCCCAACGTCTCAGGACCCAGGGACATATCCATGGACCTGACATTTCTCTTGTACCCTTCCTTCCTCTGGGACACCTGGGCATCATATTCACTCCTTCCCAGCACTCACAGGCAACCCTGAGCTGGGCAGTTGTCTCTGTGGTCACTCTGGCCTCTGGGAATGTCACCTGACAGGTGAGGTTAGCGCCATGGTTCTGTGCTTTGGGGGTGAAGAGGAGTTTGGAGGAGTTAAGATCTGGGGAGACAAATCCCTGGGAAGAGAGAGCAGAGCCAGTCCAGAGAAAGTTGGGGGGCATCCCCTCTCTACAGACTCCAGGAGCTATACAGGTCAGGGTCACTTGGTGTCCAGACTCCAGAAGATCTGGAATGGAGATCTCTGGTTTCTGTGTCAGATCTGGGGCAGAAAAGTTGAATGAATCAGGTGGCAAGGGGATAGGTTTTCATAATGTGTACCCTCAAGTGATGGCCTTGTGGTTTTGCCTTAGATGTCACAACAAGCCTTTCCTTGGTGTCCCCTCCCATGCCCTTACTCTCCATCCTTTGGAAGTCCCCACCATTCCCAGGGCCTCTTACCTCACCTAGGGGTCCTGTTTCCTCAAGCAGAGGACCCCACGGTGTGTCCACTCAGCTGAAAGCCTTGGGGCACTCCCTCCTACCTCACTAATGTGGCTATCCCTGGATGCCTCCCATGTATATTTGCAGCCCTGTCCCTGCTACCCAGGCATTTGTATCATCACCAGGCCCTGAAGAGCTCCCCTGTCTGGGGCCTTGTTTCTTTACAGAAAGGACTAGAATGTGTCCTTCCAGCCAAGAGCCTTATGACTCCCCCTCATGTATTACCAGCATACCTTGTCCTGACTCTTGTCCCCCACTTAGGCTTCCCATCACTCCCAGACATTCCTGAGACACTATCCTCACCTTCCATCTGGACAGACACCTTTTTTATACAAGTAACTGTAGCTCAGATCCACCTTCTCCACCCGGAATCAGTAATTCCCATGATCCTGCTTCTGGAATCTCAGGAATGCTCAGAAAGCAATTATCCTTCTGTAGGTCCCCAGTGAGGTGGAATTGGCCCCGGGCCCAGGGCAGGGCATTCCCCTGGAGGTCATTGGTAGCCACCAGTGTATTCTGGTCAATCCCCTGGAGCCAGTATCCATGGGCTGTGTTATTATTAGTGAATTGTTTGATGTAATGGAAGGAGCAGGGGAAACACATAGGCCCTCACTGTGTCTTGGACACAAATCTCTAATCCTGGATGTTGTTGAGAAAGGGACTCTGTAGGGAGGAAGAGAGAAAGACAGAGACATATATATATACATATACATACATACATACATACATACATACATATATATATATATATGTATATACATGTTTTCCATCTTCCCCTCCACCACTTCTATGGCTAATTCCCAACCCTCTGCCCAAGCTCTTCCCACCTCCTCTAGGCACCCTGAGCTCTAGCTCTGACCCCACTTACTACCCCAGAACAAGGGCAGGAGCATCCATGGAGAGATCTAGGGCTGATGAGGGACCACAACCCTTTCCAAGTTCAGCTCAGACTTGATAACACAGCCGCCTGGGAGGAAGGAGCCTATGAAGTATGTAAAAGGGGAACAGAAAAGGTGGGGAGGAAAGGACAGGAGAATTCTCAGATGATTGGGCCTGGTCCCCTCAATGCTTCCCCTCTCCTGAACCCTACTGGGAAGGCCTGGCCTGATGAAAGGGAAGTCAGGTATGTGGGGGAAAGGAACATGACCTGGGCAATGGAGGTGGGAGTGGGATGGGAGTGGGGGAGGAGCATCCACAGCACTTCCTCCTTCCCTGGCTCCTTCTTCTCAGTGGCCTAATGACCTCGGCCTCCCTTCCCTAAGAGGAGCTGAGGCCTGAGGAGTCAAAAACTAAAAAGAACATCCCTTTCTGATTTCATGTTCTCTTCGTTCCTGCTCTATACCCCCACCCAGTGTCTAATTGCACCTTTCCTGTGCCCTAACATTACCCTGTTACCAGCTCTCTCTTGGCCTCCAATGTGGGAGAAACTCAGGCCCTGGGGATGGTGGAGTAGGGGTCAGATCTGGGGATCAGGACCACCTTCCCCTGCCTCCTGCTGCCTCCTTACTGTACTCTCCTGGGCCATGCATACCTTCACTTGCTTCTCCATGTTGTGACATGGGCATCCTGGACTTCACAGGATACCATACTATCAAATGCCATGAGTCTGGACTTCCAAAGAGGACCTTGACCAGTCTAACCACCTGCCTTCTTCCACAGACCTCTCTCTAACCGCTGATGCTCTATCTTGATTCATTCTTCAGGGATTCTTTTATTCTCCCCCCCTTCATTATCTCCCCATGTCAATGATGCTGAATCTCAACTGTTGAAATGCAAACTGTGCTGCCCATCCCCAGCTGCCCACCCTCTCATTCTCATCGCCCTCAACTCTCCTCTTTCCCTCCCACAATATCCAGCTCCATATCTATCTGCTGGTTCTACTGTGCTCTCTGGAATGTCTGCTCCATAATTAATGAACGTGCCTTCATCTTAAAGCTTTTCCTTTCTCAATCCTTCCATCTTTTCATACTCACTGATATTCGGCTGTCTCCTGGTGACTATGTCCCTGGTCTTTCTTTTCGCTGCTGGTTTCATGTTCCCTCATACTCACTGGGTGTGGGGGATGGGGTTAGCTGGAATTCTCCTTGTTCTGCTATGCTTCTGCTGGACTCTGGTTCTGCTATCATCACTCATCAACCTCTCCTGCTCTGAGGTTTGGGCCATTCAAACTTATCATCCCATTGATTATCTATTATCTACCAACCCAAGACATTCTCCCTCCTTCCTCGGTGACTTTGGTGGCTGGCTCACAGTCTCTCCTCCCCAACTTCTGCCCTCACACTTGGGGACATCGACATATGTACCGACACTCCCCCAATTCCCCAAACTTCCTGGTTACTCAATCTAGTCAATGCCTGTGATTGATTCTTCCACTCCACTTCAGCTACCCACAGAGATGGGTATCCCTTTGATCTTGCCATAACCATAACTGTTCCACTTGCATGCTCATCAATTGCAAAATCCTTTTATCAGATCATAGCCTTTTATCATTCCTTATTTCCCTCTGCCTTATGGCCCCTCATCCTGTTCACACCATGACTTCTAATCCTTCCACTCCTTAGTTCTTCCCTGGCCTAAATTACCCTTGCACCGACTGAACTCCCTTCTTTACTTCATAATGATGAATTAATCAATTCAGCTCTATGTTCTCCTCTAAACATGCATCCTTGGCACCCCCATTTCCTACTGCTGATCATTCCTTGGCAAGTTGCAGTATTGGAGCATACCCACCACTCACCACCTTTGCTCCAATGCAAGTTCTGAAGAGAAGGAAAGAAAACTTCTGATGTGGCCAGTAGCAAGTTTATTTTAAAATAATCTCAACTAGTCCCTCCTGTGGGAAGGAAATCTTTCATATCTTTCTTATGGAATCGATTCACTCTTTCACACTTTTGAACAGTTGAACTGTTTTGAAACTGTTTTGAACTGTTCCAAAAGCATTCATTCATCTTTCATGAAGACTCCCATGGTCCCATCCCCCTCTTAGCTGATGACCTGGCCTTGTACTTTACTGAAAAATTGAGGCCATTCACCAAGAGCTCCTCTTCTTTATCTCTCCTCATCACCCATCACTCAGATGTCTTCTCCTACTCTCTCCTCCATCACTTTGGTCTTGGATGAAGAAGTGGCCCTTCTTATTGTCAAGGCCAAACCTTTATATTCACTTTTGACCCATCCCATCTTCTCCAGCGGATTTTCCTTGTTATCAGACCCACTTTGTCACTTATTTTCAATCGCTCTCCATCTACTGGCTGCTTCCCTGTTTCCTAAAAATGTGTTTGTGTCTACTCCCTTAAGAAACGTAAACACGCCTCAAATGATCCAACCATGCCTGTTAGCTGCTGTCCTGTATCTCATCTCCTTTTCATGGCTAAATTCCTTTAGAAGACCCTCTACAATGGCCCCCATTGCCTCCTCTCTCTCTAGTATAAACTCTGGGCAGTTTGGCTTCCAATTTCATGACTCAACAGAAACCCCAGAGTTATCAGTGATCTCAGACTTGCCAAACCAAATGACCTTTTGCCAGTCTTCATCCTTCTTGACCTCTCTGCAGTCTCAGACACTATTGATCACCCCCTTGTCCTAGACAGTTTCCCCTTCAGGTTCTCACTGAGACACTGTATTCTCCTGGTTCTCCTCCTACCTGTCTCCCTATCTCCTTCTCCTACATGTCTGCCTGCTCTTTCTCAGCTGCTTTTCTTAGATTTTCATCCAGGTTATGCTCTCTCACCATGGGCATCTGGCAACCCTCCCTGTGCTCTTGCCCTTGTCCTCTCTCTCCAGATTGGCTTAACTGGTGATCTCATCAGTTCTGTTGCCCCAGTGTTCTATGTAACTCTGATGTCCACTAAAGGGATGTCCACTGAGAGTTGGGAGTCCAGGCCTGTAAATGCTAACCTATGAGAACTTTGTACAATGGTGTTGTCTTGTTTCCTTTGTCTGACTTTGTCTTTGGGGATGAATGAGATCTCTAGACCCAGCAGTCATTTATGTTTGAAACTCCTGCCTTGAGGTGAAGCTGGCCTGATGATGAGTGTGTCCCATGGCCCACCAAATCTAGCAGGCCCCAGCCACACTTCTCCTTCCACCCTGGCCATTTTCCTGACATTCTCTTTGACCTGCCCCAGCCCCGTTCTACTTTAAGAGCTCTGGAAATAACCTGATCCATACCACCATTGCTACAGGAAAGGCCGTGTCAATCTCTGGTTTCCAATCTAGGGCTCCATTCATCATCCCTTGGAGTTCCCACAACAAAACACACTGTAGTTGGCTACCACTGGTATCTATGGGCTTTCTCCATCTATTAGAATGTAAGCTCCCTGAGGTTACAGACTGTCAGGCTTTTGTGTTCCTTATCTCTAGCTTTTAGCAGCAGGTTGTGAAGTGCTCAATAAATGCTATGCCATTCATTCATCCAGTCAACAAGCATTTATTAAGTGTTTTCCCAGTGCCAGTCCTTTGCTAAATATTAGGGATGAAAGGAAAGTCCAACCAAAAGGAAAGCAAAACCCAAGTAAAGATTCCCTGCCTTCAAGGAGTTTATATTCTAAAGGGAGAGACATATAAACAATTGAGTACATGTCCATACACACCCCCAGCCCTGTCCCTCTGTCCTCAGCCCCTGAGGTGCTCACTCCTTCCTGGGACCATGGGGGAAGAACCCGTGTGTCCTCCCAACCAAGAGCCTTGGGACTATTCTTCACAAATCATTAGCGTACCCTTCCCTGGCTCCCATACTGGTCCTCACCCTGGGTTTTCTTTCACTCCCAGACACTTCCTGGGACACTCACCTCACCTTCTATGGACAGACAGCATTTTATACAAAGAATTGTTATCTCAGATCCCCCTTCTCCATCTGGGACCAGTAATTCACATGATCCTGTTTCTGGACCCCAGTAATCCTTGCCTTCTAGGATCTTATGGTCTTATAGAGGAACCTAACAGTTACAGAGGCTGGGAAACCGGAAAGATGTGTTTCAGTTAAAGAAATCACAGGGATGGTGAGTGTGATTAACTATAGGGCCTTTGAGTGACATGACCTATGCAGGAATGGGAATGTAGTCTCACCCCTTCCAAGTCAAGTAAAGTCAAGTCAAGAGGTATTGATTAAGCACTTATTATGTGGCAGACACTGTGTTAAGTGTTGGCAGTACAAAAAGAAGAAAAAAGAAAAAAAGAAAGATAGATAGATCAAAAGAAGGAAAGAAGGAAAGAAAGAAGGAAAAAAGGAAAGGAAGAAAGAAAGAAGAAAGGAAAGAAAGAAATGAAAGAAGGAAGAAAAAAAGAAAGAAAGAAAGAAAGAAAAAAATCCTTGTCCTCAAGAAGTTTACATTCTGATATTCTAATGAAGGAAGACAAACATAAAAAGAAGACAAAAAGGGAGTGAGGGTAGGTAAAGGTTCTGCTTATGTGTGGTAGGGGGAGGGACAGTGACAAAATTCTGGAGAGGAAGGAAAGCCTGGCTAGCTGAGCATTTTCCTTCTTTGGAGTCAGTAACCTACCCACAGTCTCAAAGAGAGTTTCCCTCAGACTCTTCTTGAACTCAGTTTGATCCCTATAATAAAGGTCCCCAACTGCATCCTTTCCCTTCTCCCCATCAGAAT